GTGTAGGGTGCTGAGGGCTGCCCCAGAAGCAGCTTCCCCCCCGAAAGCAGGGCTGAGCAGCGGGTGGGACGCCAACCCCTGTGCCCATCTCCCACCACCTCTGCCACCCCCACGGGGAGGGCTGGCCGAGGTGCCCCAGCCCTTTGGTGRCCACAGCCCCCGTGACCTGTCCCCCCTGTCCCCAGCCGTGAAGGAGGCGGCCGTGCAGCGGAAGCACAACCTGTACCGGGACAGCATGGTGATGCACAACAGCGATCCCAACCTGCACCTGCTGGGCGAGGGCCCGGCCATCGACTGGAGCGAGGAGTGCAGCGGGCAGCCCGAGGCCGAGCCGGCCGCCGACAGGCGCCGCAGGGCCAAGCAGGTGGTGTCGGTCATCCAGGACGACGAGGGCGCGCTGCCCTACGGGGTGGCGGCCGAGGCGCTGCTGCAGCCCGGCTCTCCCGAGCCGCAGGAGCCGCAGCCCGGGGCGCCGCCGAGCCCCCTGGATGCGGTGAGGGAGATCCGGGAGGCGCTGGCGCAGGAGAGCCCCGAGGATGGGGGGCAGCTGGTGAACGGCACGGACGGCGGCGGTGCCAGCGASGAGGGAGTGCTGCTGGCAGGGGCTGCCCGAGGGGGTGGCACTCAGCCGGGTCCGGCCCGTGACGGGGACGGGGTGCGCGGGGACACGCCAGCATCGCCTGTGCCTGGAGCTGAGATCCTGTCCGGGGCTGGGGGACAGCGTGGAACGCCAGCATCGTCACCTGTCCCTGGAGCCGAGGTGCCATCAGGGGCTGGGGGACAGCGTGGAACACCAGCATCGCCTGTCTCTGGAGCTGAGGTGCCATCAGGGGCTGGGGGACAGCGTGGMACGCCAGCATTGTCACCTGTCCCCGGAGCYGAGGTCCCCTCGGGAGCTGGGATGCGCCGGGCTGCACCGGCACCRCCCGTGCGTGCATCAAAAGTTGGGAGACAACATTCCACACCAGTGTCACCTGTCCCCGGAGCTGAGGTCCCGTCAGGGACTGGGAGACAACATTCCACACCAGTGTCACCTGTCCCCGGAGCTGAGGTCCCGTCAGGGGCTGGGGAACAACACCGGGCACCAGTGTCACCCGTGCCCAGAGCCGATGTCCCATCAGGGGCCGAATTGCCACATGCCCCACCAAGGTCGTCCGCACCAGCATCCCCCGTGTCCGGAGCCGATGTCCCAGCAGGGGCTGGGGTGCCAGAAGCCCCACCAAGGTCATCGGTTTTAGCCAGAGCCCATGTCCCAGCAAGAGCCGAGGTGCCACACGTCACACCGACATCACCCGTTGTGGCATCCCCCGTGTCCGGAGCCCATGTCCCAGCAGGAGCCGAAGTGCCACACGTCACACCGACGTCACCCGTTGTGGCATCCCCCGGAGCCGAGGTGCCACAAACCATCCCAAGATCACCCGTGCCGGTGTCCCCCGTGCCCGGAGCAGTGTCCCCATCAGTGTCCAGCGTGCCAGCCCCGCCCAGCCCCCGGGCCGATGTCCCACCAGAGGCCGAGCTGTCCCATGTCCCAGCAGCATCACCCAGAGGCCGGAGCCCGTCGCCAGCGTGTCACCAGCTCGGTGACAGCGAGACGGGCGAGCACGGCTGGCGCGGCGCCCCGCAGCCCAGGGGCAGCACGGAGAGCGGCATGGACGGGGTGCAGACTGAGTTCTAGCCCCAGCCGCCCGGCCGTGGACTGGCCCCGGTGTCCCYGGGGCTGGGGAGGGGGAGTAGGAGCCCGCGGGGATGGAGAGCAGCACCACGGGAGAGGGAGGGGTGGGGACACCGAGACCTTACTGCCTATGGGGACCCCGCTGCCCTGGGGGGCCGCAGCCGCAGAGCCCTCCCGGCTCGGAGCAGGGRTGGCCCAGCCCGGAACGGGGCGTCCCCTGCGCTCTGCTCTGTCCTTCTTCTGCCTTCTTTCCTTTTCTACTGAAGAGATGCTTTACTGAGAGCTTTATCCGCCCCCGCGCCAGTGCCTGGGGCTGCCGGCGGGGCTGGCACTGGCCCTGCTGAGGGTGGGTGTGTGGGGGACGCTCCTGGCTGTCCCCGGGGCTGTCCCCTGCCCCAGCCCGGGAGCCTGGCCACCGCCACCCCCGGCCGGCTCCGGGAGCGCCGCTGGGAGCGGGGGGTGCAGGGGATGGAGGAAAACAGGGGGGAAGCAGGGGAACGGCAGGGGACAGCAGGGACACGGCAGGGGACAGAAATGCTGGGGGGCTTGAGCCACTGCTGAGGGGGCAACAGCTGGGCCAGGCTGGGCTCAGCAGCCAGATTGGGCTCACAGCACCCAGGCTGAGCTCACAGGATCCAGGCTGGGCTCACAGGATCCAGGCTGGGCTCAAGAGCAGCCAGGCTGGGCTCACAGCACCCAGGCTGGGCTCACAGCACCCACGCTGGGCTCACAGCACCCAGGCTGGGCTTGGAGCATCCAGACTGTGTTCCTGGTACCCAGACTGGCCTCACAGCATCCAATCTGTGCTCACAGCACCCAGAGCCCACCCCTGTCACCGCAGGGTCCTCCAGCAGCTATTGAAGTTCACAGTAACACTTCTGGGGGAAGGTGGCTCTCACGCCGTGTCCCAGCTGTGCCCGGCAGCACTGGGATAATCCCAGGCTCAGCTCGCTGGGCAGTGGAGAGATCCCAGCCTGTGCCCTCCTCAGCAGCTTCCACGGGTGGTTCCTCCAGCTTTGGAGATTTTTGCTGTGATTTGAACACCCCCAGCAGCACTGCCTGCCATGGGGAGGGGGTCAGAACTGCTGCAGCCCCGATCCCAAAAGCCCCGCAGGTGGGGTGGGGGTCTGCAGGACCCCTGGGTGTGACAGCTGGAGCAGAGCCCAGCACCCTGACACCCACCCGTGCTTAGGGGCCACCGTTCCTGCCTCAGGAGGGGGTGCCCAGCCTAACCCACTCCGGGGGACCCCCAAAGTGCCTTGGGAGACCCCCCCTCAAAGTGCCTTTCTCTGTGAACTTCAACCTTGTCTCTTCCAGGATATTTTATTAAGAAAGTTATACAAATGTTTAAAGATATGCTTATAATAATTAATAAAATGGAAAAAAAAGCTTTATTTAAAGCCAGAGGAGACCGTCCTTATTCTCACACCACCTCCCTGGGTAGAAATGGGGATCCCCAGCCCCACCGTGACCACACCAGCAGCGACACAAAGCAGGAGTGGAGCTGAGATGGTTTTATTAAAAGGGGTGACCTGAGGAAGCAGCAAGAGGCACCTGGAGCAGCATTTCCCCCCCGGCACAGCCACAGCAGCGGCTCAGGGGCTGCTCCAGCCCCATCCCTGAAGCGCAGGAGAGGGCTGGGGGCGGCAGGACCCCCCCATGTCCCCGAAGGCACTGTGTGAATAGGGCAGGGTGCAGGGCAGGGGTCCCTGTCCCCAGTGTCCCCTCCCCCAGCAAGTCACCGGATGGTTCCCCGTTCCAGCCAGGGTGAACCCCCTCAAAAAGCAGGGAGGGGAGGAAATGCACAGCACACCCCTGGTGTCACCACCCCGACAGAGGTCCCTGAGAGCCGGGGGACAGGGGACTGGCCGGTGTGGCCAGTGCTGGCCAGAGTGGGGCTGGCCACAAGGGTCCCCAGCAAGTCCTTGGAGTTCTGCATCCCACAGAGCACGGGGACAGGACAGAGCCAGCAGAAGTGACAGCAGCTATTCCAGACGGAGGAGCAGGAGGTGGGACACGAGTGCCACCACCCCAGGGGGCTCTAGCCCCGGCCCAGCAGGGGATAGACCAGAAAATAGCCCAGCGTGGAGCCCACGATGGCCCCCAGGAAGATCCAGGCGTTGTAKGACATGACAGCCAGCATCACCATGTAACCCAGCACCACCTGCAGCACGTGGAACAGCGTCTGGGCCACGTGGAACCAGAACCACCTGTGGAAAAAGGTGGGAAATGCCATCAGTGAGGGGTGGGGGCAGCTGGAATTGCCTCCCACCAGGATCCTGGAGCGGGGTTTGGGGTGCAAACAGCAGCTCAGGGGGAAACCCAGCTCCAAAATCAATGGGGTTGGCTGTAAGAACAGCCTCAGGGATGATCTGGGATTAGAGGAGGAAACAGCCAGGGCTCAGCTCCACAGGAAGGAACCACAAGGGCCAGGTTCATGGAGACCGAGTTGCTGCTTGTGCCCATCCCTGACCCATGAGGACCCTCCTGCACCCAYGCTGGCTCCTGGTGGGGAACATGAGCCTTTAGCCACCACCCTGGTCACCTCCCCGAGGACCTGGCAGGGCAGGGAGCCCCTCCCCAGGCTGTGCATGTCCCCCATCCCTGGAGCCTACACCTCCTCCTCCCCACCCTGCTCCCCTCTGTGCCAGCCATGGGGCCGGGCACCCATCCCTGAGCCCCCACGTGGGTACCAGGGGGTCCCCACGGTACCTGCTCTGCGTGGGGCCACTGTCCCCCTCCTGGGGCTCGGCCAGTGCCTCCTGGCTGAGGCTGCGGGGCAGGGCCAGCAGCGCCCGCCGCAGCAGCACCGCCTTGCCCATCTTGATGGCCTCGTAGAGCACGGACAGCAGCAGGATCACCAGCACCGAGAGCACCATCCCTGCGGGGAAAACACCCCAGAGCTGTTCATGGATGGGGAGAGGCTGCGGGGGCACGGCAGGGCCTGACATGGGGGGATTGGGAATACCCATGGGGTGAAGTGGGATTGGGGTTGGGCAGCAGGGTTGTTGAATGTCAGAAAATTATGTATTTAGCTCAACTGCCCTTCATAATTCACAGAATCACAGAATGAATGARGTTGGRAAAGACCTTTGAGATCAAGTCCAGCCTTTGACCCAACACCACCATGGGCAGCCAGACACATCCAGTCCTTCCTTAAACACCTCCAGGGATGGTGACTCCACCTGGGCAGCCCATTCCAATGCCCAACCACCCCTTCTGGGAAGAACTCTGTCCCAGTGTCCAGCCYAAACTTCAGCTCAAGGCTGTGCCCTCCTTACAGAGCTGCTGTGAAAAGAATAAGCAGCTTTGCATCAACTGCACAAAAAACATGGGAGTTAAAATGTGGTGGTGGGGGTGGGGGTAATTAAAAACAGAGAGGAAAGTGTAAAAGTGGGAATGTGAGACATCCCTGAGTGACCTGGGTGGTTGGCAGGCTGAGGGGGGGTGCTTTACACAGCTCCCTGTTTGCTGCTCTGGGCTTGGGATGGACAGAGGGAGGAATGGACAAATGGACAAATGGACAAAGGGATGGATGGACAGGGATGGATGGATGGATGGATGGGTGGATGGGTGGATGGGTGGATGGGTGGATGGATGGAGGGATGGGATCCATGGATGGATGGGTAAATGATGGATGGATGCCCCAGTGCTGGCAGCCTACCTGTGGGGCTGTGGACATTCCAGAAGTCGAAGAGCAGCACCACAGTGTCCGAGAAGTAGAAGGTCATCTGGAAGAGAGGCCAGGAAAGGGCAGTGCTGGCCCTGCCCACACCCTCGGGGTGACAGTGCTCACGCTGCCAGCAGATCCTCACACCCCCCACCCCGGGGTGCTCATCTGGGCTTTTACCACATGGTGCAACAGTTTTCCCCAATGCTGAAACAGGAAGAGGAACTTGCAYGGACAATCACAGTCACACTGCCTGAGCTAAGCTCTTCCCGTGACCTCTGCAGGACAATTTCACCCCCAGCAGCAGCTCCTGGGTGTCTGGGCTGTCAGGAAAGCCAGTTTACCCCTAAGGCAAAAAGAGATGAGCCCAGGGCTCCATCCACCTGGATCTGAGGAGGGAAGGTCCCCAAGGGACAGCAGGAGGCTGGGGACACCACCCACAGCYCGAGGTGAAGCTGATGGGCAGAGCSTCCACTCCCCTCTGCCTCCTGCACTGCCAGGACACCCAAAACTCAACCCCAAGGCACCCAGAGCCACGAGTGTGACCACCCACCCATGGGTGCCACTTCAGGGGTGCCTTCCTGGCACAGGAGCACCAATCCCAACACTGCCCAACCTGCCAGGACCTACAAAGGCACCAACCCTCCTCCTCCATCCCGCTCAAACAGGAGGAGCAGGAATTTCTCTTGTGTAACATCAGCTCATACCCAGCTGCCAGGTCTTGCTCAAAAACTGGATTTTTTTTTTCTTTTGTTCATGTTCCCTTTGGTGAATCTGTGAAGTGTTTGTGGAGCTCGTGGCTGTCCCTCTCCCACACTGATCCACGTTTGGCCGCTCTCTCCTGCYTTTTCCACCATGGCCAGAGGTGACTGACAGCAGCAGGACCTGCCCCAGCCAGAAATACCATCCAATACCCTGTGGGTGTTCACCACAGCTCCAATTACACCCTTCAGCCCTCCTTTCCCAAAGCACATTAACACACATAATTGGCTCACCCTTTTAAGCCTCCTTTGGCCATCAATTAATGATAATTAGCCTTTAAATGAAGYTATTTCTCCTTTACAGCCTCCACCCACAGCGTGGTGGAAGGAACAGGTGACTAACTGCCTTGGTGGCGGGGGACAGAAGTGATGGGCAGAATCAGAGTGATTAGGGCTGGAAAAGCCCTCTAAGATCATTAAACCCAAACATTAACCCAGCACTGCCAGGCCTCACTAAACCCCGCCCCCAAGTGCCACATTCATGTTTTTTTAACAATTCCAGGTGATTCCAGAGATTCAGAAGATCCCTTTGCTACACCAGCCTGGGGTGAAGCCACATGGTTTAGGGTGTGACACAAAAATGATGCTCCCTGGGCCAACAGCCCCTTGCTCCTCATCCTACAGAGACACTACAGGGAGATTTCTCCCGTGGGCGAAGGTCCAGAGGGCAAAATCCTAAAAATCCCTGCGTTCTTTCCAATAGGGAAGGGCCTGGGTTGTGGCCAGGGATGTTGTTGAGAGGGATGGGATCCTGTCCTCCCCCAGCTGCCCACGCAGCAGGGATTGAGCAGGAGCCCAGGCGAGGCTGCGCCCGGCTCCTCCTCCGCAGGAATTCACACCAGGGAAAACAGCTGCTGGGAAACATCTTGCTCAGCCAGCATTTAGGGCTGGGTCTGCTGCACTTTTGGGGTTCCTCTCAGAAWAACCAGTGGTGTCTGCACAGAGGCAGCATCCCGACCTGCTGCTCTGGTCCAACTGGGATATCTGACCCCACACATCGGGGTAAAGCTGCCTTCCTGCAGGACCCCGACCCCACTCTGCTGAGCTGCCCCAGCTGCTGCCCCACACCGGGGACACAGCGGCCCAGGGAGGTGTCCCCAAACTGGGATCCTCCTCGGGACTGGGGTCACCTTCCAGGGCAGCTTCAGGGGGCTGCTGATGGTAAACTGAGGGGTCTGGGAGCCTAAAACATCAAACAGAACCATGGAAGGGTTTGGGGAAGGGAACCTTAAAGCCCATCCTGTTCCACCCCCTGCCATGGGCAGGGACATCGGGCCAGGCTGCTCCCAGCCCTGTCCAGCCTGGCCTTGGGCATTTCCAGGAAATGGGACATCCAAACACCGCGTCCGAGCTGGGAGCACAGAGCAAAACCTGACCTGAGCACCCAGCACAGCCCCTCCGTGGGCATGGGAGAGCGGGGGACGGGACAGGGGTGACGGGACA